GAAGCGTGACGGCCGGAATGCAAGTTTTTCCTTTTCGCTTCCAGGGGTCACCTCGCAGTACGCTTTGCTGTGCGCAGGGAGAACGTATACCAATGCCAGATGTGTGCAGTTCTTGCACTGTGATGCAGTTAAAGTTATAGTATTATTTATTGTGTTCAACAATTTAACCGCGTGGAAAAAGATATTTAACCGTGTGGAAAAAGTGGCAAGTGAATGCAACTACAAATTATCCTTTTCAAAAATGTTCCATCTTAAGGAGTTACACATCTTAAAAACGTAATGTTCTCAAGTAAGAAATGAGACAACTGAGTGGAGAATTAAAATGTGCATAAACGAATGCAGCTTATGGCGACAAATTTAACAGCAAGTTGAGATGCAGTCGCTACATTTCTACCTCCCGATGGAAGACTTTGTGTGCTCTAACCTTCCGTAAATCCCACCTGTGAATTACGGTGAGTTAGTTTTGAATTAAAATATTTTAGGCTTTAATGAAACGAAGACAGATTGAGGTGTACTCATTTGTTCTAGAATTTATTCTTCTTTAATGCACCTAATAAATAGTATAAAGATTTTTAAGATGACGTTGATAATTCATGACATACGCATAAACGAGAGAAATGGGCGTATCGCATTCATAAAAGTGCACAAATTTAATTTTGAAGGGAGTTTGTAAACCAAATATATAAGAGAGTTTAAAAATTATTTCCATTTGATGGACGTCTTTAGGAATTTTCAACAACAAATACATTTTGGAAGTATTTCCTCAGATGCTTTGCGATCTTGACGAGTGGTTCACTAAACCAACTGGGTGTCTACATGACTTTCGTAAAAAACGTGAATGCCCTTTCAAAAAATTTAGTAGATTATTTCAACAGTAATTTTTCAGAATATTCAGATACTTACCTTCGAAGTTAGAATGTTTTAATAATTCCGATAGGTTGTTACCTATATGAAGTCTTTTCTGACCACTTCTTTGTTAACAATAATTGCAGCACTGTATTTTAATAATTCATGAGCTTGGCCATGCAATTTATCTACAGAGGAAAACAAAGCGTAAAATTGAAGAGAGTACGAACCTGATGCCTCCCATTATTTTATACGATTTTGATGATATTGTATGAGCGAACATTTATGATGACTATAACCGTTATTTCGTCTCTAGTAATCTAAAGAGACGTATGTTAAACACTTAGTGTACTGTTTATGGAATTAATTATGTGCTGGGCGTGATTTGTTTCCGAGCTGTCGAGGCCGAATGACTGTGACAGAACTGTAAGAACAGAAACTCAGAGCCCCAACAAGAAACATTTCCGAATGAATAATGAAATTATTCATCACCTATAGAGAGCGAATATTTGTGATTACTACGTGAACAAGACCAAACTATTTAGTAGCCAAGGATAAGGGTTTATTATATGAATATGAACTCTTAAGTAGTAGCTCTAGTGGACTGCTTGTATCACTGCCATTTACTGTTTTCTGTTAGGTCAGAATTGTTTTGTTGCCGTATATATTGTATTTTCGATGTTTCCAATGACCGAATATAGGACAGTTTCACATTTTCGTAATCAATTCCAAGTAATTTATTTCCTGGAAATACAAACCGCGATGTCAATGGTGTATGACATTCACCGCATAACATATTGCATGTGAAATTTTCTTGCATCATTATTTGGATTTCATATACGCATTGTATTAATATTTTTATATAAAAATGTAAAATATTTCGTATTAATAATTAGTCTACACCGATACTTAACTGAAAACTGAAACACGAAAAACACACATTTTGTATTAAGCATCCACAATTTAAATAAAGGTAGAACAGTTAGAGAATCTGCCAGTTGATCCGATGCGTCGTGGTTTTGAACAGTGAAAAATTCATATGCTGTGGAGGTGTAGAGAGGGAAATATACTGAAGATAAAACTACAATTTAAAATACAAAATGTCTGAAAATAAAACGTACATGCCGCCATCATTTTCAATAACCAGTCCTTGTAGTTAATCCATGTTTGTTGTTGCATTTGTTGTCAAAATTATGTACCTAGAATACATACGAGTACATTACAAAACGGGGCGTGACTACTTTAGGATTAACATGGCAAATCATAAGAATAAGTACAAACTTGGTATCTGGTGCTGCTTGGGGGACAGACTGAGGGGAGGTGACTCGTGCGCAATACGCTTCACAAGCCTCCATCGGTTTCCGCCAGGGTCATCCTTCAAGGGAGCGTTCTTCGTCGTGAATGAGGCGCGATGAGGAAAAACCACCTTTAGGTATTTCCACCCGTGAAGCAACTCAATATGTACAGAATAAATATTGTAAGCAGAATGTATCTGTCGGCTGTTAGGCGTTTTGTTAGGTACCTGCGACTGTTGCAACAAAGTCCGCTTCGGTACTTTTATTAAGTCAAATGATGAGTGTTGTATAATACGGAAGTATGTAGTTGTTGCAGAATGAATTTTTGTGTAATGTTGAAATTGTCAGTATGTTCAACAGAATTATACGAGTATTGAGATGTTAATGTTTTTACTAGAATAATACTTTCCAATAGTTTTTCAGGGTGGCAATTTTATCTATGAAAAGTAAGTTTTTTCTTGTATTCTCTGTGTAAATACCATACACACAGGAATATGTCGTGAGTGTTTCAGTGTACGAAATGTTTTTGACTAAACTAAATCATACGCTAACATGCATTCCGTAAAGAGTTTATGCAAATATAAGTATCTGTGATAAAGAAAATTGCATCTCTGCAAGTGTATCGGTAATACACAAATTTCTAATTCAATGTGAAAGGGTGTTTAATTGAAAGATAAAGTGATTAAGTGTACAGGAGATAGTTGTGTATTATCTTTATACAATTTTCACTAGTATAAAAATACAATTTTCTAAATTTATTTTTTTAAATGATTTAAGTCCCATAAACAACAAAGGACATGAGTGACGAATAATATAGCTAAGTACAACGTCAAATCTTTGAAAATATCAAAATATCACTTTTACAAATACTTATCCCTTAGTCATGATAACTCGGTGACAATAAAATGGCATTGAAATTTGTTTCTCCTAAACACTCTTAAACATATTTCTTCTCTGAAAATTTTTCATTTTTGAGTTGAATGATTTTTTTGAATAACGACAAAATGCACGTGGAGGAACTGTGCCTATGGGTAACTTAAAGCAGTCATTTCGACGACGCCAACACGTTGTCAATGTCTCGCAACGCCACGAGTCTTCTGAAGGGTTAAGATGGTAGGATTAAGATGATTTTCGATACTGGTCAGATAGCTGATTGAATTCTTTCTCTCTGTGGAAGCAAATTCTAGCGGCTGTCTGCTCTGATTGGTAGTTTTTCGTACTCTCTCCGATCAATACCAGGCTAATGCCGGAGCAGTTCCCTACCAAAAGGGCCACGGACCACGCGCGATATTTCCTTCCTCTTACTCGTCCTATCTCTTCTGTTACTTACACTCACTTATACTAAAATGCACTACCGCAAATGTGGGGAGACCAATCGGTAGCTTCGAGAGTATCTTGACTAGGGCGGTTCTTCGCTGGTGGGAAATATGTGGTCGGAAAAAAAACCGATAGCGGACGGTAGGTCGGCGCCAGATGTCGCCATCCAGCGAGACATCACCGCCACCTTCCAAACAAAAAATATACAATACACTTACGGGATTAATGACCATACTAGTTGACAAGCCCGCAAATATAAGTAATCAATCAATCAACGAAGAGTCCAAATATTACGAAACTGCCTTGCAATAGAAAGCATTACCTTCATGAACCTAAGGAAATGCAGATGTCAAATGCATTAGATGCAGCGTTTGGAGGTATAAAGCGTAGGAAGGCAATGTGCACAGCTTTAGATGCCGAGTGCACGAAACCGCAGTCGGAAATATTATGACACGGGTGTCGCGCAGACGCAGCGTTACAGGCGCCACATTCTCTGCTTCCCAGGGCCGTCGCTTTGTTGCGTAGAAAGCCTTGTCCTCCAGCCTGACGGTCTCTGGCTTCATGAACGGAAACATGTCACCACGAGGTGTTTCATTATCATTCTCCAGGGGAAATGCACGACGCTTACGATTTAGCAAGGTCAGAATATCGCACAACTAATATCGCGAAAGGCCTACTTGCGAACTTACAGAGCATGAAGAAGAGATCGTTCCAGGACGTCTGGCCCAGCCGAGGAATTAAGTCAAGTCCGTTATCGAAAAAGTTGTATAAGAAAGAGAAGTTTGCTCTCTTTATGGTCAACTTAATGCAGTCAATCAAAGATCGATTTATTGACACATCTCCGCCAAGGTCTAAATGTGCTGTTTTTTTTAATGGTCACCTAGCAACCTTCGAGCGTTGTTAGGGGATTTATGATTCAAAATTTTCCTCCATGAGCACAATGTGCAATTACTTGCACTTCTTCGCACAATTACTTCAGACAATCCGTGGCTGAGTGAATACATAATCTGATGAGAACGTGAATTGTTGGTTGATTTAATTTACCGGAGTTTTAGCATGGTTCTTTTGCATGGAAGTACTGCACGTCCAGTATGGAGTTTCTGAATTTGTAACATCCACTTACGTCAATCGGGTTCGAACCGGCGCTCTGGCAGTTGGAGGGCTTTAAGCTACCACTCCCCCATCGAGATGACTTCATGTGATCATTGCAGACATATTGTGAAAATCCATGTAGGTAGATAAAATAGAAGTAATCTTTATCAATAAAAAATGTATCAATAAAAGATGTTACAGTAGAGCACATATCTTGTAACATTTTAATATACGTTCTGTAACATCTTAATGTAATGTGAAATAAATGTTTTGTATTGCTAAAGTTTACTTCTATTTTACCAATCCAAATCGCGTCTTATATACGATACTGACTTCATGTATAGCGAGGCTAATGCTTACGGAAAAGCCTTCGAAAGCCAGCTCTCTGAATAAATCTAAGCTGGAAAAGATAAATTATTTCATCTTTTAATCATGCCAATAACACATCAGCATTCCCACAAATCCCACAAGACAAATGGTAGCAGAACGCAGGTCGCACTACTCTGCCAAGTCGGGGCGAGCCGCTCTGGTCCCACCGCTCGCCGGCAGGGCCGTCCGCTGGTCGGGCGTTATTGACGATTCCCAAACCCGTTCCCGGAAGGCGCGATGTCGGCAGCCCAAATTGGAGGGTTGGCGACCCTTGGTGGCGCCGCACGCCCGCCGCTGGCGCTCTCTGGTGCGCGATTGGCGCGGGGCGAATTAAGTATGCGCATATTTATGAGCGGCCGAACGGCGTCCACAAATTATTGCGATTGCTTTGTTTGATCGCGAATTATTCCACCTCACGTTATTTGAGGTTCTTTGGAATATTAATACCTTTACGCTATTAGAAAAATACACAAATTTTAATTTTCTTTTACATAAATCAGTTATTGCTCAAATATCATTTGTGCAGTATATGCAAATATTTATTTTATAAACTTTTGGAATTGAATTTCGTGTCGAAAAACCTCTCGTCGAAAAAATATAAACTCGTTGATATATTAAAACTGCGGTGTGTTTGTGTGATTCCATTCACTGTACAGTCTATGCAGCTTGTTATGCGAATAGTAAAAAGTATTAATATGATAAAAGTGTGCTACGTCTTCGAAAGTTGTGCTTCTTTCAATGCTGTTTCATTTTTTTAGAAGAGGTATATACTTCTATGGAATTTGCACATGAAATTATTCTATTAAATAATCAATATTTATATATGATATATAAATGCAAAACTATATTTACAAAGATACATTAGCAAAAAATACGTTTTTTGGTTATTCAGTTTATATTTAACTACGCACCTACATGTTCCATTCATCTCTCAACATCCCATTTCATTAGTCCATTCATCTAAACGTCTATTTACCCACCTCCGCTCGCATTTATCCAAACCATCAGCTTCAAGCTTCATGAATGCACGAGGCCATTAACCAACGATCCAAAGAGCGTACATATTCTTACATCGATCGATTGATTGATTGGTTAGAGATTTCGGGTGCGATATTAAGTCTGGGAAGTGTATTTTATCATGGATCCCACTTCTTTTTTTTGTGGGAGGTGGCGGTTACCTTTCGCTCGACGGCAAGATTTTGCGTCGCCTTGCTCGCTTGCGGAATTTCCCACACACAGGTATCTCCCATCAGCCCGGCATCACCCCTACCGGGATGAGCTCTTAGCTTCGGGTAGTGTAGTGCATGATAGTGTAAGTGGGCGGACCTAAGGGATAAAGGTACGAAGAGGAAGGAAAGATCGTACGCGGTCCATGGTTCGTTTGTTTGAGTTCGGTTCCGTCATTCGCCTCGTGTTGATCGGAGAAAACACAGAAAACTATCGTTCGGAGCAGCCGAATCCTAGAATTCTTCACCACACAGCGACTGAATTCGTCCTAGCTGTACAGCTACTGCTGAAAATCCTGCCGCCGTTGGGACTCGAACCTAGGACTTCCCGGTCAGAGACACTGCAATGACAGTGAATGGCGTAAGCCTGTACATTTTCGTACCCAACCACCTTCCAATCCGACTAACCGCCCATCCACCTATCGACCCACTTACCTTACCTACTCATCTACCCCCCTACTCACTCATCCAGACATCCCACCCCACGCCACTAACCACAGCCGGTCCCGCTGCGCCGTTGGCGACGCGCAATAATTAGATGCAATTAGGCGACGCTAACGGGTGGCTGAGAGGCGCGGAGGCCCGTGGCGTGGCGCGGCGGCTGCGGCTGAGGCGGCGAGCGCCGGCAGCGCCCGCGGCGGCAGGGCGCGGAAGCTGTCGATGCGGCGGCGTGCGCCGTGATAAACGACGTGACGCCATTACGCGAAGGTGATTTATGGAGGAAATAATTTCGCAAGTTGCGCACGCGGGGGTGGAGGGGCGGGGGGGCGGTCAGGTCAGGTGGCCCCGCGAAGGTGGCGAGGAGACGCTCCGGAAGGTGATGTCTGCGCCGGAAATGGGGCGCGGTCGTATTAGGGACTTCATTTCCGCCGGCGCGGAAGGTAAGTCCTAGGACGCGAGCGCGCCTTTTTATGTTGCAGCTTGGGAATTTGCTCAGTCGCGCTCGGTGCAGTCGTTTTATTTTGGGAGCAGCGCTGATGGACCAGAATTTCAAAAGTGACATTATATATATTAGAATTTTCCTTTCACAAATGTAGGTATGTCTTAAGGGAATGAGAATATGCTGCAAATAGGTAATGAGTGTAATTATGAACTTCGTTATATCCTTAATTCGCCCATTTAATTTATAGTTTGAAATTCTAACATAACAAACATTTGAGAAAAGCAAAGCAGAATATATTCGAAGACCATTTTAATGGAAATGCATAAATGATATATGCAAATGAAATTCAATGGTGTTTGCAGGTTTCGATTCATGTACATTTAAGAAAAGCGTTTATTGCATAGTCTTGAAGAAAAAAATTAAAACGCGTTGTTAGAAGCAAAAAATAATATACGAAGAATCAACTCTATTAATGATATATACTTATATTAATGATGTTAATTGGAGGATTAAATTCATTTTACTGCAGTAAAATCGCAGTACTACAGTCACAGAACGTTGGCAAAATTTGTGGAAATGGGTTACAAGTATGTTATATTAAAGAATTGGGGTATTGAGTTACGAGATATCCATTACCTTAGAATGTTAATGCAGGTACTTGAAAACATGTATACAAATAACAATGGTATATTTTCAACGCTTATTTTGTTGCTACACTTGAATATAATTTTTCACTATTTATCTATTTAAATTTCTATTCTAAGATTCTAAGACTCTCCACTGCATTAACATTTTCTTGCGATGAATACATCGTCCTTAAAGTGAATCAAACCGATACAGCCTCGTTTCTCGTGGAATCGCACTTGACCGTAACTAGCATCCAGTGTGAATCTCTCGCTCGAATTGGAAATCTGTCACCCCGTCAGCGGCAAGCTTGGAGGGCCGGGGATCGACGCCAGGCGTCGGGCGCTTCTGGAAAATTCCGATTACGAGCGATATAGGCGCTGCCATAAATCATCGGCCGAAGCGCCTGGCCGAAGCCAGCCGCGGGCACGGGCTGTGGCGGCGGGGCGGCGGCGGCTTGCGGAGGCGGCGAAGTCCCCGGAGGGCGGTGGGAGGCGGCAGGCGGCAGGAGGGGCGGCGGAGGGGTGGGCGGCGGGGCTGGCGAAGTGCTAGAAGGGCGCGATGATGACCACAGCCGATCGGGAACAATGCGTGCCAGCAACCGGGAGTTGGAGCAGGCCACTCCACTTTCAGGCGTATTTTTTTAGTTGTGTGCGGGAAACTCGTTTTCTAGAATGCGTGCGTTGGGAGAAAGAGTTGCAATCGGGTGAAAGTGAATTTCGCGAGTTGTATGAAATAGTTCTTTGCGGCCTTGATAATAAAAATAAGGCGATATTCTTGGCGGTGTGTGTGAATAATCTTCCCAACGATATGCAACTAATTTATTTTGTTTCAGTTCAGTTTTCTTTAGTTTCAGTATTGAGATCACATTTGAGATTCCACTCACGGATATTGGGAACGTGACTACAATTATGAATAGTGATAGGGATTATACTTCATGATACGTAAGGGTTTGTCATTTTCGGCCTTTTTCTGTCAAAATCAGATCATCCCAATGTTTACTTAATTCACTTCTTTCTTACTCGTACTTTACTAAGTTTATGACGTGCTGCAAAATCTCGCAAAGATATGCAGTTCATTTTTGCTCATTCCTACTTCAATTTTTTGTTCTTTCCCTGCAGCATCCCAAAGTATCGATAGCAAACACTTACTTTCTTTTGTTTGCTGTACATTGACAACATTTCGGACTGACATGGGTTGCAATTCGTGAAGCAACCATTTAATGTCAATATTGCCTAATGCTGATTATCTGTCTCCTTCAAAGTAAAATCTTCCATTCTTTTATTACGTACTATAACTTTTTACACTATATAGGTTTTAAGTCCGTATTTGACCGCCATTTAAGAAATTATTTGTTGCTGAATTCGCCCTCACATTAGTAGTTGAGTAACACAAATGTTTGGTTTCCGTAAAGAGGTATTTCGTTGTGTCAACGAAGAAACTTGATGCAAAATGTATGCCATGTGGGATTTTCTCTCTCTGTTCCCCTTAAGAAAAAACGACTTTCTGGCAGTGCTCTCGAACCTTTCTAAGAGGCCTGTTTGACAAAGCGCACATTGGTAAAAATGTGATGTGAGATGTGCCATTCCTCCCAGTTTCCACTTTTGAAACTGTGACGCATCTGTCGGTGTCACTCATTTAGACTGTACCAGATAGCAGTTTTTCAACTTGTTTGACCGACAATGAATCTGTCAATGTTCGTTGCAACTAAACGTATATTTTTAAAGCGTTCATAAGCACACGGCAATTTTTACATGACCCAAGTTACAAGAAGCGATGCCATTGTCCGATCTCTCTTTCGTAAACTGTTCATCATGCAGACTGTTCGTGCGTTTGAGTGGCGTTGGGTGTAAGGTGCGTGCTTGTGCTTGCAATTCGGAAACATTTTCTGGAGATTCCTCAAAACAGTTGTAAAATACAGGCTCGGCAATGTGTCTCGAAAAGTGTTGAGGTTTGTTTTCGCGGATTGTGAAGAATGTTTATTGAATACACCTCCCAGAGCTGCAATGCCGATAATTCGCTCTATGTGGCTAGGGGGCAGGAAAACTTTTGTGAGGATTTATCTGGATTTTCAAGACCCGCTACGTAGGTCTCACGAGTGTTGACCTGCAAAAGTGACTCAGGGCATCATCTTATGACACAACAATGCTGCTGACCGGGAGGTAGGGTTCGACCGGAAGCTATGCCGAATTCAGTCGCTGTCTGGAGAATAATATTTATTGGCCGGCTGCACTAATGGGTAGTTTTGCCTGGTTTCTCCGATGAATACCAGGCGAATGTCGGAGCAGTACCCTAACAAACGGGCTACGGTTCGCGAGTGATCTGTCCTTCCTCTTCTTTATCCTATCCTCTTCCCTTACTTACACTCACGAACTACATTATCACACATGTCGGCAAGCTTGTCCCGGTTGGAGCGCTGGTGGGAGATACTGGGTTGAGGAAAATCCCCACAAGACGACGTAGAGGGCGCTGAATCTCGTCATCCAGCGTCATCCACCTCAGTCTTTAAATTCATGCACAACACTTACGGGTATGATATCCTTTGCAGATAACGTTCCCGGAAACACTAATCAATCATCCAATAATAATGTGTGAGCAATA